TGTTATGCAAAGGCTGCAATCATTTCTACAATAAAATTTCCTAATGGAGAGACAACACATGTCACATACCGGCAATATTTCCTTTAATCCTAACATTAAATTAAACAATATTTTATGTGTCTTCATTCAATTTAAACCTAATGTCCATCACCAAACTTACAAATGACTTGAAATGTTGTCACCTTCTATCCTAATTCTTGTGTTATGCAGGACTTGGCTAAAGGGAAGATGATTGGCTCGGGTAAACAATTCAGAGGTCTCTATCATATTTCTTCATCTCCAATCAAATATTGAACTCATCAAGTATCCCAGTCATTTGATTTGTGACATTTACACCTAGGTCATTCTTCATTTTCTCGTTTTAAATTTCTAAATGATCAATTGCATTTTAATAATGCTATTTCTCATAACTGTAATATTTGCCCATTAGTAAAACAAACTAGGCTGGTTTTTCCAAGAAGCTCAATAAAAACACATTCTGCCTTTCATCTGTTACACTGTGATGTTTGGGGATCTCATAAAATTCCTACATCATTCTGGTTTGGGATTTTCTCAATATTGTTGATGATTTTACTCGATGTACTTGGGTTTTTCTTAAACAACATAAATCAAAAGGACATCATTTTTTAATGAACTTTGTTCAATTCGTCCAAACTCAATTTCATACTACTATCTACATATTATGATGAGACAATGGGACTGAGTTCTTATCTTTGCAACCATTTTTTACTTCTTGTGGCATTGAATTTCATCAAACTTGTGTCTATACTCCACAACAAAATAGAGTCGTAGAACATAAGCATCGTCATATCCTAAATGCAGTTAGATCTCTCCTCTTTCAGTCACATGTTCCACGTACTTTTTGGAGAAAGTGCATTTTAACTGATGTTTATCTTATAAATAAAACATCACACCATTGTTATCTAACAAGACACCCTTCGAAGCACTCTTCAAACAACCACCTACATTTCATTATCTTAAAGTTTTTTGCTGTAAATGTTATGCCACTGTAGTACATCCTAAGAAAAAATTTAAACCTCGGGCAATTTCATGTGTTTTCGTAGGATATCCTTGTTACAAAAGGTTTCAAGTTGTATTACATGCAAAATCACAAATTCTTTATCAACCGTGATGTTAAATTTTGTGAAGATGATTTTCCTTTTTCATCAGCTTCACAAACTTTGACATTAGCTACTTCGACTCCTATTTTACCACTTCATGATTCATCCTACTCAAATATCTATTCTAATCCTCTCTCACCTTCTATTCCTTCACCTTTTATTTTTTCATCTCCTCCATCTTTTATTCCTTCTCTAAATTCACCCACTAATTTGAATCTTATCCCACTTGATACATCAGTTCCAACCCGACATTCTACTCGTACCAAATAGCCTTCAGCTTGGCATGATGATTATGAGATGTCTTCTGCAGCTATTAATTTAACCTCTAGTTCAAGTCTCGGCAGTGACACCAAGTATCCTCTTCATCATTACCTTTCATTCTCTTGTTTTTCTCTCACTCACCGTGTTTTTCTAACTCTTATTATAGCCCAGATAGAACCTAAAACCTATGATGAGGCAGTTGGCGCCCCATTATGGCAGCAGACTATGAATGCTGAAATTGAAGTTTTGGAAATGTAATCATCTTGATCTCTCATTCCTCTACCACCTGGTCATAAAGCTATTGGCTGTCGTTGAGTGTACAAGGTTAAATACAACTCTGATGATTCTATTGAACATTATAAAAGCTTGCCTGATAGCAAAGGGATACACTTGGATAGTATTTGATTACATAAAGAAATTTTCTCCTACCTTGTATTGATTATATGGGTGCATTGGGAGTCCTTTCCAACACTATCAATTATAAGTTTGCAATTATAAGTTCAACACAAGAACCAAAAAATAAAGTTGTAGCAAGTAATTTATAGCAGTTAAGTTTGTTAACAATAATGGGAGTTGGCTACTATGCCAGTGCCCATCTCTAACCATTCACGTCGCCTCAATTTTGTATATAACCTATTAGACGTTGCTATCGTTTCAAACTCAATTTTATATATGACCTATTAGACATTACTATGGTTTCATACTTTTACAAGTTTCGACCGAGATTAGTACACATTTTCGAGCTTGTAATGGGTTGTGCACCTATGAGCTATAAAGAGACTCAAGGGCTTCCATTTAGTGCAATAAATTCAAGCTTAGACCCTCTCAAATGTAAGCTGCTAGACTTTGGGTATTTATCTCTCAAATTTTGGCCAAGTTAGAGAGTTACACTGAACCATTTTGGATTAAACCAATTTATACACGTTCAAAATCGAGTTTACAACAACTTTGTAAAAGACCCAAAAGACTGAAAAACTACTATAGGCTATTCTCTCAATTCAAGTTCTTGAAGGTTGTTTAAGAGTAAAATTGGAGAAATTCAATTGAAGCGCTACACCTAAATTCATCCCTCAAGACCACTTCCATTGAGTTTGTTGGGTGTGACAGATTTTTGAAACATAACTTTTTAGTTATTTGAAAAACAACATGGATCTCCAAAGGAGTTGTTTGAAAAACTTGTAAGGGTCACTTGGAATTGTCCTAAAAGCTAAGTTTACTCGTATTAGAGTAATTATGAAAGGATTAGACTAATAACCTCACTTAAGGACTAAAATGGATGTTTTAGCAGAGAACGTTCTAATAGGATTTAGTGTCAAGTAATTTAAGGAATTGACCCACATAATGACATCGACATTTGCTATGCATGAAATTTTAAAGGATGATCTAATAAATGAAATATTGATACATGTTAAATTTGAAGTTCATAGATGCATGTTTAGTTTATAAACCAACATTATAGGTAAAATGACCATAATGCCCCTACTATACACCTACGATGTTTCAATGTCTAAAAGACTTGAAACTTTATATGAGATCTACTTATAACCTTATAAACGTTTTATATATGATTTAAAGGTAATAAAAATATGTGTAGGGCGTAAACTAGCGATAAGGTTAAAAATAACGAAAATGCCCTTAATAAATATTGTATAGGATTTTATGACTTCTAACGAACTTCAAATGACATGAAACCTACTTATGACACATGAATTTATGAAGGATTGATATGATTATGAAATGTCATGTAAACCTTATAATTATGACTTTTGCCTAGATATGCTTCAAGTTTTCATGAAAGACCCTCGGAGATAGATTCATAAAGTTGTGAACCTATGTTCTAGGGTGAAGAGTCGAGCTAAGTAGGCTAGTTCTCAAAACACCCATATGCCTAATATGCATCAGATTGGTAGGATCCACTCAACCCAATCCTCCCTTATGCCCTAAGTCACCCTAGACCTCTCGATAATGCAGTACATTATGAATATATATTTTTCTCACTTTAATGTGATGATCTACTTCAATTCCTAATCGGATGTCAAACTCAAACTATGTCATAGGGACACAGGGAAATTCCAGGACAATCATTGGCCAAACAAAGATTCCAAATCTTGGTTGGAATCTCAAACATAAGTATACTCTCAAGTTCATGTTGTTTACCAATCATGTGACCTAGTAAGTCTTCTAGGGAAAATGTTTTAGAATTAAAACTAGTGTTACGCATTGGGTATAGAGTGAAAGAGGATAGTCATGATGAGATCTACACTTCTTAAACTTATTCAAGGTTGAGGGATCATACAAGTGCGTAAACTAGGGTTAGGCATCAGACAAACCAAGCTTTTTGACTCGGAATTCATGACCTAGGACCAAGGTCCTTAGAACAAAATAAAGTTAAGATTGGATTTGGGAGGAAAATAGGGAAAACAGGAGTTAAACGAGACAAAAATGGGCTTATACGCGCTTCCACACGCAAGTGTCACGCGCATGCACTTTTGTTGCAGCCGCGGGTCATCGATTTGGTTCGGGTGGACCACGGGTCCTTGCGGTTCATCTCGTAGCGCGAGTGCCGGATTGGTTGAGGGACGCAGGTCAGGTGTCGCAGCAGCGAACGCGTGTGGCTGGAAAACTGGAACCGCGTCGCTCCAGGCGGCGTTCACGTGTGTCTGGTGGCTATCGGCGCATGAGAGACCTCTCGATGGTTGACACGTGGCACGCCGTCACTTTCTCTCTCCTCCTAGCAGAAAAGTGGGTTTCCAATTTGTTTTTCGACATTCTTCTCATTTTTCTATCTCTCGATTCTTAATCCAAATCAAAATGACTTCTTCAACAAAGTTTTAGATCATACTACAACCTACGTTCCAGTATTTTTTTTATTGATTTTTACTTAATCATACAACGAGTTATGTGCGTTGGAAGGAGATCCGTTAACATCCTTACCGTTCTTGGAAAGATTCTCAGACCTCAACGTTTCGTCCGATTTTTCTCATGAAATCAGCGGCGGATCTTCCATAGATGAAGGTAGCAAACTTTAACACTCTATTCCTAAAGGAAGATCTCAAATCTGAAGAGAAACGTTCAAGATCTTAACTTGTGAATTTCTCTTGGATCTTGACGGAAAATGGAACCTCAACAACACGAGTCCTCTTTTTCTTCAAGAACAAACTTCAACGTGTAAGCCTTGGTCGAAAATGAACTTCGATGATGGTTCTGACGAGAAGTCCAGCAGTTTGCTTTCCCCTCTCAAGTTTCTCTTCTCTCAACTTTCTTTCCCACACTTTTCTCTTTGCAGGTGATGATATGTGGAAAATCCTCAACACCCCTATAATGGGCTGAGGTGCAAAATGCCCCTTTTGCCCCAACTTTGACCGTTTTTTAAGATCTCATGGATCCTTAAGCATGTTTTTAGAATATTAAGTTGATTAAGTTGATTCTGTTAAACATGTAATGGTTCATGGAGTTAACTTGTGAAGCATGTTTCTAATCAGTTGAACATATTTTCATCATCAGACGCCTAAGTTTTAATAAAAAACGCTCTAAGATAATAATTAATGAGAGACGGTATTGAGTTAAAATGTGGGTGAAATTGGAATTTGTGGGTGGGTGGAGTTGGGTTCAATAATCTTGATATCAATGGACCAAATAGCAATTTTGCCTCTTAGAAGGTGTAGAGAGAACAAAAATTGGAGAAAAATTATTGTTATCCGTACATGAAATAATGAGCTCAGTGTTATTAACATCTAGTACAAAGAAATAAAGCGAATTCAAAGCTGTTGGGGTGTAGTGCTAAGACTTGTGGGAAGACTTGTGCCATGGCAGCACCTAAATTTAATTATGCGTACCTTGTAGGAAAGTGGTCTCCCTTGACAACTTACACGCTCCACTCCACCCAGTCAATGCAACTCCTCCCTGCTTCTGCTCCTGCTCCTGCTCCGTTGTTATAATTATAAACATCCACCACCAACTCCGACGCCCTTCCAAACAAATCCATGGCTGCTACCGCTAAATTTTCGTATCTTTCTTCATTGCCGGCTGGTTTTGTTTTCCGTCCCACGGTGGAGCAGCTCATTACCCACTACCTGAAGAAGAAGAATGATGGCAACGAGTGTGTTGTTAGTTTTATCAAGGAGATCGATCTGTACAAGTTCGAACCCGAGCAACTCCCAGGTATGCATTTATCACATTCCTGATTTTAGCTTTTGAAGATGGAGCACACCTCTGATTGTTTCCTTTCCCCTGTTCCTGTGCAGACAAATCGTTTATCCCATCTGATAATTTTGAGTGGTTTTTCTTCCGGGCCAACACCTTGGTCATTGAAAGAACCACGGGTACTGGCAGCTGGAAATCCAGCGGTGATCCCCGCCCCATCAAGGCTCGAGGAACCGATGAAGTGATCGGAAGTAGAGAAATCTTCGTGTTCCATCGAGGGCGGGGAGACAAGGGTGTAAAGACCAATTGGGTGATACGCGAGTATAGGCTTCACCCAGACACTAAAATCCCTTCCCAGGTCTCATTTCCCACGCTTCTTTTATTCCCAATATGATGAGTATTTTTAAGTAATGAGCTTTTTGTGGTAACATTGTCCCTCTTATGTACTGCTGCCCATGTAGCACCCATTCCTCATTTTTAAATTGAAGGATAAAAATGCAGATGGAGAGAAGAAAATCACACCGAAGGTAAGAGTGTCCAATATGAACATTTTGAACATAACCTTGTATGCAGAGCTCGAGATGACCTCCTTAATTTTTAACAGCCTGGAGCTGGAACTTCCAAAAATCCAGATAATGCCATACAGAGTGTATATGATTTTGAAAAGCACATTACGGAATCGGTGTTCGGCAAGCATAAAAACTTGGACCAGATGACATCAAACAAACACGAGGAATCGGAGGAATCAGATGACGCTTATGCTGATGTACTGAGTAAAAATTATTTGATTGAATTGTTTTGCAGTGTTGCAGCCACACAGTTCCTCATCCTTTGCCCTTCTTTTCTCACATATTTTTACTTGTCAATTCCAGAACCAAATAAGAAAGTTGCGTAGAGACCCCATAAGTGTAAAGTTATTGACGGTCAGTGGCAACACTAAACCCCGCAAGGTTGTATCCGAAGGAAGTAAACAACAAAAAGGCCCATTGTCGGAGGAAACCCCAACTACAGAGACGTCCCAATACAAGGTGAAGGGATACGCGTATTTATAGTGTAGAGGCTATTATTGTTGTGACAATACATGTCACATGATTTCCCGATACTCTTAGACTCTCATTTTCAATTCTGCAGACTCAAGGGGATAACGCGCACACACAAATTGTGAATCCACCCCACTCATCTACCAAACGCATTCACCACAACTCCAGTCAACACCCACTGGTCTGTTTTGCGAAAGCATTGCTAGGCATCGTGATGTTAGTAATGTTTGCCCGAGACATGGTGCTATACCGACACAGGCGCTAAATATTAGCATGAAGCATTGTCTCAATCTCGGCTTAAGCTTTTTCATATCATGTATCTGTCTTCTGCCTCACAGGCCTTGTATTGAATTATATGGCTACTATGACGTCGATGCCCCTATTTTCTATGGAAGAATTTCTTCAATATTGTTCGAGTCTAGTAAAGCTTTCTTCTTCGAGAACCACTATGAATTTGTTCAATATGCTAACGGTAGGTTTTATGTCCCACAGTGTCTCAAATGGTGAGATGAAACCTAACTTTGGTTGGGGAAGTTTGTTGATCATATGGGCAACAATTCACCTAGCTTCACCCTAAAATCTTTCCTAGAACATTTTTTGCCGATAGCATACTTCGAAAAATCCCTACTCTCTACTATTTTTTTTTTTTCTTTGGCACAGGTAAATTGATGATGTATCCTTGATTTAGGTTACCCTAACTAAAAATGAGCTTAAAGATATGCCCTTGCTTTTCCAGTAATCATGGTGCTAACTCACCATAAGCTTTAGGGGCTAGAGGCTACCCTAATACAAGATGAGCTCAAGGTTTAAGATGCTACATCATGATAAGCTTTATGATGATCCTTGGTTTTCTAGCGACCAAGAAGTTACCTAACTCAACATGAGCTCAATATTAGCATTTGATTTTTAAGTAATCGAGACGCTGCCTCATGATAGTATTGGTATAACTTTTGGTTTTCAAGCAACTAGGAGGCTGCATGAACAACTTTTGATTTTCAAGTAATCATGATGCTACTCTAAGGTAGCTATTGATTTTCAAGTAATCAATATGCTACCTTAAGTCCATGAAGCAAGACAAGAAAGTTAAATACATACTCATTCCTTAAAGGTCACTACATGCCCCAAGCCTTCTAAGATGGAATATTGCTGGGTACCACTCAAGAACAAGAACGAACCAATAAAACAAAAAAAAAAAAAAAAAAATTAAGGATAAGAACCAAGAATAAGATTAAGGACAAAACAAAGATTAAAAACTAAGGATAAGGACTAGGACATTGATCCACATAAGTTCTCATAACTAAGGATCTAAAATTAGACAACAACCAATATTAAGAACTCCGGACTCAAGAACGGAACCTAAGGGCCTAAACTCTCAGATCAAGAACAAGAATATGACAAGAAAGAGTATGGTACCCTAGCACACCTTAAAGACACGATTAAGATCCTACGAACATACTACTTAATGAATTTTTGTACTCGTTCAAGTTTTCTTTTATATTTTATTCTATGCTTGTCTCATAAATGAAGTAATTGGGAGCTATCTCTATCAAGTATGTTGTAGAGAAAATGTCTTGAAAATTCTAGAGAAAAGATAAAAGAAACTTACCCACATCTCAGTGAGCTTCTCCAAGCTAATTTAGTCTCCACCCGCTTTTTAACATATTCATAGAAGTTATTGTACCAGTTTTCTTTCGAGAGAGCATAACGATTTTAATGTGATTTTAAGGATGCTCATCCGAGAAATTTGGATCCTGATAAGTCTTATATAATGTTAAGAATCACAACTCTCTACAATGGTATGATATTGTCCACTTTAAGCATAAACTCATACCAATAGAGATGTTTTCTTCACTTTTGACTACACCTTCAAGGCTAGCAAGTCGATCCCTCATGAGTTGTTTGTAACTACAACAAGGTCAAAAGTTCGTTTAGCCCTGTAATTATATACTTCACTAGGGGTGTACATTCAACCTGGACCAACCCAATCCAAACTACAAGAATTGGGTTGGGTTAGATTAGCATTTTGGGTAGGGTTGGATTCATTTTTCTGAACCCGAACTGAATCGGTTCGATTTTCGAGTTCATGAGTAAAACCCTCGGGTTGACCCGAGGCAAAATTAAATATATATAAAATATATTTAAATTATATTGGATTAGTCAAAGTGGCAATTTTTTTAAAAAAATATATTATAAAAAACAATAATCCTAAATTCTAATTATTTATTTTCTATATTTAAACCAATCCTTTCCATTTTTATATCTTTATATTTTTCTTACTTTCTATTTTTTTTGTTCGTTGGTTTTTATTGATTTTTTTTTTTAATATTATAAAAAACAATAATCCTAAATTCTAATTATTTATTTTTTATATTAAAACTAATCCTTTCCATTTTTATTTAATTGATGATATATCTTTATATTTTTCTCTTTCTATTTTTATTTAATTGATGATATATCTTTATATTTTTCTTACTTTAACCAATTTTACTCCCACCCAAGTTCGAATCCGAATCCAAGCAATTTTTCTTAAATATTATAAAAAACAATAATCCTAAATTCTAATTATTTATTTTCTATATTTAAACTAATCCTTTCCATTTTTATATCTTTATATTTTTCTTACTTTCTATTGGTTTTTATTGATTTTTTTTTAATATTATAAAAAACAATAATCCTAAATTCTAATTATTTATTTTCTATATTTAAACTAATCCTTTCCATTTTTATTTAATTGATGATATATGTTTATATTTTTCTTATTTTCTATTTTTATTTAATTGATGATATATCTTTGTATTTTTCTTACTTTAACCAATTTTCTAGAAATGTCGACTATTATAGTCTTTAGTTTTATAATAATGTTGAACTATGTTTTTGCTCGTTGTTTTTTATTGATTTTTTTTTTTTGTGAATAATGATGAATTGATTTTTGTTTGTTTGTAAATTTTTAATATATTTTATCTAAGATTGTATCCGAATAATTATAAATTATAGATAAATAAAACTTAAAAATATGATAATGTAATTTCATGATATATGTTTATATTTTTCTTACTTCAACCAATTTTGAAGAAATGTCGACATTTATAGTCTTTAGTTTTATGATAATGTTGAACTATGTTAATATGTTACAATTTTCGCTCATTGTTTTTATTGATTTTTTTTTTTTTTTTTGTGAATAATTATGAATTGATTTGTGTTTGTTTGTAAACTTTTAATATATTTTATCTAAGATTGTATCCGAACAATTATAAATTATGGATAAATAAAACTTAAAAAAAAAATTGACAATCCAACCCGAACCCAACCCGAAAATAGAAGGTTGGGTTGGGTTGGGTTATGAAAAGTTTTGGGTTGGGTTGGGTTGGGTTGGGTTGTGAAAAGTTTTGGGTTGGGTTGGGAAAAGTTTTGGGTTGGGTTGGGTTACCAATCCAACCAACCCGAACATTTGGGTTGGGTCAAAAAAATCCGTCAACCCAACCCAACCCAACCCGTACCATGTACACCCCTATACTTCACCTTAAATATCATTAATTCTTTAATAAATAATTTGTTGATGATTCAATCATAAACTAAGTTCCTCTCTGGCCGGTAAGAGGGTGAGTCCCATTGTTCAAGTCTCAAAATCAGCACTTAAGGGAATTACTCATCTACATACTCGTATCCTTAGGAGCAAAGTCATCTCTAGAAACTATGTTCTCAACTCCGTATTTGGTCAAGTCTGATATTCATCAAGTCAAAATCATCCTCACTCATGCAAATTAAAGGACAAGCCTGTTGGGTTTTATGTCCTAAAACTCATAGTTTGTAAATATAAAACATATTCTATTTTCAATAAAGTTATTATTGTTGTTTATTCAGTAAAGATTGTTATTGAATAAAGTGAACTTTACGATCATTAATCTAAATCCAATAAACGAAGAACATTCTGGCTATAGTATGATTACTTGAACTATATGTAGAGACATAAGAGTGGATCAAGTTCAAGTATATAGTCAAAATGATCTATAGTATAAGGATAAGGCTGAGTACCTTAGTCTAGGGACACTATGGATGCAGCCCACTTTTGTATATGATATAAACAATGTGATCACTAAATTGTACACGTGGAGACATGTGAGTGGGGGCGTCCTATGCAATGAGTATTGCATAAGATCGGACCATGAAGAAAACCACTCTCACTTTATAATGTCGTTTACTGTTGAGACTGATTTTCTTTTCATTCGATAACCTAGGTAACTCGGTTTTAATCCTGAGCTAACCATGAACTCCTGTTTATTTGGAATTATCCTTAGATTTGCATGGGTGAGAGTGGCTCTAGTTCGCCGACTCAATAGGCCTCCCATTTCAGGGGCAAGACTGGGTGAATGGTTGGGGACGTGGGGTGCAAGATGAAATTCACTCCTACCCACTTTTAGGGATAGAAGAGAGGTAGTTCCCTTAAGCACTAACTTCAGGTCTTGAACAAGGAGCCCCACCCTCTCATTAGTCTGAGAGGGATTCGGTTTACTGGTTAGACCACATACCAATTGTTCATTAGAGGATCGGTGAGACATAAGGAACAAGAAGTAACTTTAGGGGTAAAACGGTAAATTGACCCAGCTCTAGTTACGAACAACCTGTGAAGGATTGACTTACTAATCATGGTTATATCAAATGGACAGAAATATATCTATAGTGAGAGGAGTGCAATTACTAGGCTATAGTGGAGTGTCCTAGTAGTTAACGAATGTTGGTTAACAAGGTTAATGAGTTTAACCGGTTAATCTTGGATCGTTGGAGCCCATGATCTATAGGTCCATTAGGTCCCTCTGCTAGCTCATATCGGACTAAACCATAGAATAGTGTGACGAGTGAGTTCGAAGTGTTCGAATTCAAATTAGGGAATATGCGCTACATATATACGATATATTTAACTGCATTTTTGTTTTATTTACGAATTAAACAAAAAGAGAGAATCTTAAATATTTAAATTTATTTAAATATCTTAAATCAATTATGCGTTGGAATTGATTGAGATTGGCATTTGAATTAATATTAAATATTAATTAAATAGTTTAATTAATCCTTTAATGTTACCTTAATTTGAAATTCATTATTCAAATTAATTGTTGAATTAAAATGAAGAAAGTCAGAATGTTGACTTCTTTTAATGAAAAAATCCATGTTATGGAATTTTAAGGTGTCAAAATTTGGTTTAACGAAATTTGCATACTTGACAAATAAACCCGACAAATTTGAGTGGAATTTTGAGTGTCAAAATTTGGTTAACTCAAACATGCATGCTTGTCACATAATCCCAAACATTTGAGTGGAATTTTAAGTGTCAAAATTTGGTGATCTCAAATTTGCAAGAACATGCAAACATGACTCTTTAAATAGAGTGATCATGGTACATGGAAGGTCTTCTTCTTAGTGAAAAACCTTGAGAAAAAACCTCTCACAA